GGGGGGGGGGGGGGGGGGGGGGGGGGGGGGGGGGGGGCAAGGCCTCCCGGAGGAACAAGGAAGGTGGGCAACAGAGACGCAGTGGTGGAATGTATGGATCCAGTCTGGGAACGGAGATGAGAAGGGCTGACAAGTGGAAGTACCATACTGAACTTTTTTTATTCTTCAGCCAATCTCAGTAAATGACCATTTGGATAACTGTGAATGTTCATGCAGATGAACTGGATTGTAGCAGAGATGATGATTTCTGCAAACTCCTGTGTAGCTGAAAAGATTTACAGGTAAGGTTATGAAGGCGACACTGATGTTGCAGTCGGTAATTGGTTTCTTTTAAACCACCAGTCCATCTGCAGGCTGCACTGTAGATTTTGCTCCTACACGAGTACCGGCCCAGGCCCGGTAGAGGCTCGGTGGGAAGGGACAACTGTAGTTTTTTTCAAATACCGCCATTGTAGATTATAGGCTTGGAAAAATGCAACGTTTTTTTGTTCTTGAATTTAGCTTCGGATGGACTGGTGGTTTAAAGTTGTTTCATGTTTTATCAATCATATGACTCTACCGACATGATAACGGTGACTGTGAGCCTGTTGCTTCTATCTCCACCCTGGATGGAAATCTATTGTTGAGTCAATGTTGACTCAAATAATAAATTGAAATAATCAATGGAAGTTGTTTCACAGTTTGCAGTCCATTACGGTCTTCAGACATACATTTTCTTTGTATTATGAGGTTGGTTGATGATGTGTCTTGTTTCTGGCCTATAAGAAGGGCAATGCGGATTCAGTTGGCAAAAAGTGAAATCCGGAGAACCTTGAAAGTTGCTACCCATGGCACCTTTCCTTGGTGTACAGATGAAGGGCTGGGTCTTGGGTCTTTCTGAGCTGTTCAGTGGAATTAAGCCAGGAATTCTTTGTGCTGATGGGCCCAATTTCAATTCTTTCTCGCTGTGGACGTGTTCGACGCTCCGCGGTCTCCTCCGCCACTGTCCCCCGGTCACTGGCCCCTTGTCACGCTGTGCAGCAAGCCCCTCAGCCTTCTTATTCTTCTTCGTCGTCATCGTCGTCGTTGTTGGAGGCACAAAGTGTTGATTAGATCCCAAGCGAAACGCTTGAGCTTCGAGCTTCCAGCCTCCCGGAAGTTCAGACTATCATCATCCCATCTTAAATGGGATTTCTTCTTCTTCTTCTTTGTCGCCGCCGTCGTCGTCGTTGTTGTCATCGCCGCGCCGTTGTGTTCTGTGTCGTCGTCGTTGTTGTCATCGCCGTTGTGTTCTGCGTCGTCGTCTTCATCCTTTATGATGTTCTTCCTTATTCACCTTTCCTTGTCGTTTTCTTCTTCTTCATCATCGTTCTTGTTCTTCTTTCCTCACACATCAGGAGTTTTCTCTCGTGCAACTCACTCATCACACCATCTTCTCGCAACATCATCAAGAGCCGGCCTCACATGACTTGCGAGTCACAGGCGACGTGGTGACAACTTCCTTGTTCTTCTTCTCGCTGTTTCTCCTTCTTCCTTTTTTTTTCTTTTTGTTTTGTTAATACAGAACCTTATGGTCCTGGCTCCTTTGTCATTCTGGGGATCGTGGGGTGCTTTTATCACCTCGTTAAGTAGGTTTCCCGTTCACGAAGTTTCAAAAAAAAAAAAAAAAAAAAAAAAAGTCTGGTTCCTTTTCCACCAGCAAGTCATAGAAATTACAACAGATACACACACACACACACACACACACACACACACACACACACACACACACACACATCCTTTTGTCGGCCAAAGGATCCCTGGACAGCATTGCTTAGTCTGACTGCCAGCTTGCCTTTCCCATCTGGTTCCTCTCAGGCTGGGTGACCAAATCAGTCAGCTGAACATGATAACCTAGAATCTATGGAAGAGCTGTGAGCTCCTTCCCTTAACAACCTCTCTGCCTATGCTCCGTTTTTGTTGTTACTGGCAGATGGTGACCCCATTCTCCCTAAGGACGACTAGTTGCCTTCGTCCCTGAAATTGGTCCTCGTCGCTCGATCCTAGTTGGAAACTTACTGACTCAATCCAGTCCCAATGTCTGACTGCTGGTGCTCCTAAGTCAGATAGAGCCCAGGAGCCTTTCAGCCTGTATATACTCGGGTGCCAGGTAGTCCCTTATTCCGGGAGTCCCAGGCCCTTCTTAAACCCACGTGGGTGATTTGGAAGGAAAGGTGCATCATTACCCTTGAAATCAACATGAAAAGGTATGGGCATCAACGAAGGACCTGATTGAGGATGAGATCAAGTGCAGGTGGAGGAAGCTCGATATTACAGAAGTTCCGGAGAGGGAGCAAAGCGTAAAGAGGCGTTTCAACTGGGAATGGCTGGCCTGTTTCTTCTTCTTCCTTCTTCTACTGTTTTCATTAGTTTCTTCCATCATCATCATCATCATCATCATCATCATCTCTCCCCTCGCTGTTCCAACTACCTGAATTGTCCTATTGCCCCCCACCACCGTCATCATCCCAACTCCCATGACCATTCCAACTCTCCTCAGCGTCCTGACTCCCCCAATAGCCTCAACTCTCCCTCGTCATCCTGTCTTCCTCGATCATCGCATCTCCCCCCACTGTCCTATCTCCCCCCACTGCCCCATCTTCCACACTGTCCCATCTCCCCCCATTGTACCATCTCCTTCCATATCCCCCCACTCTATATAGACCCCAACCCCAACAATCTTAACTCGACATCTCTATCTCTATCATAAGCCTAACCCCGGTCTCGTGTGATGGGCCCACGCGAGACCTGGGGACCTATGGGAATGGGAAGTGACTGGGGTATATATATATATATATATTATGTGACAATATGATCAATATCCATATAATATATAGCCCCTCGTTTGTTGTCCTCTTCTCCCTCTTAAACCATAGGCAGCTCTGTTTGACAATATATATAATATACAGATGTATATATCTGCAATGCGGACATGACAACAAACATTCGAGAACTCGAATGCCTCATTCGAAAATCCCAGCATGCTCGCCAACGTCACACAGCGCAACCTCGTGACCCATTTACTGACCACATCAAGGTCGTACATGTGCATTAGGTAGTTTGTGCTACGAACTTACACCATGTGTCACAATTGCCGAAAATAGTTACATTTCACCCCGACCCCCAAGCAGCCACACATGTTCGTGTATGTGACAAACTGATGCCACCCACGCGTGCCTAATTTTGTAACTTCACTGATGTGGCCTTGAGTGTTACTCCTGGAATGACCTTACCCGACTCCTCAAGTTGCGAATGCCGCAGAGCCTTTCCACATTGTTCTGATCTTGTGGATTGCCATATTGTGTCTATTGACTACAATATCATCTCTGATGATAGCCTTTGCAAGCTTTTCCAAGAAGGCTCGAAGTATCGCCTGAATGGGGAAACTGCCAATGTGCTCTAGGCACTGGCAATTGGACTTGATGAGTACATTGCCAATTACAAAAGGTCGTTGGTCGGGCATTGTCGATCTACTTCTTTCTCATCTCTTTCTCAGAAGTTGAACAACTGGTGTTTTGCAATCCTTGCACATTGTCAATCCAATGCAGCCTCATTCTCCAATCATGTGAGCCAGCCACATTCACTTCGTTCTACACATGCCTCCTTGCGCCATCTTCAACAATATTTTGCCATTGTACCTGTGGACAAAACATCACACAATTTGGCAATTTGCTGCAAGATTGGTATATGTTTCATCTCTCCACCCATTTGGACAGTCCCACTTATACTCGTCCTCATGAATCTGTTCCTGAAGTCCTTGACTGCCATGCACTATGGAATTGCCATTGGGGCTACACCCACACTGATACCCTGCCTTACCTTTACTACGTGCTCAAAACTCACAAATCTCCTCCCAACTCTTTGCAACATTCTTGGAGTCAGAACACAAAATAACAATATTGTTCCCCGGCGACATCGCTCTTGTCCAACAATTCGCATTATTCATGAACGGCCTCCTTACAGACCATTGGCTAGCACAACGACTACTTTATCGTATCTCAATGTTGCTTTGCAAGGCGTGATCTCTACTCTTCATGAGAAAGATACTGAGCTCTATCAATAGGTTGGTGTTCGACGATGCTGGATCGTTCAGAGTGCCTATGAAGTGGTGATTGACCTAAAAAACAATGCATCATCTCTCCTCGCATTGTTGATTTTACCACAATGTACACCAACCTCCCTTATGACCGCATTTTGAATAATGTGGCAAGAGTTGTTGATGAAGCCCATGCTTATGCTCTTCAGCATACTCCTACGCATTCGCGCTGTTGTGCCCTGAACATGGTTATTCGAGGAACTCGTTGTGGCCAATGGACAACCGATTCAGGCCCGGACAACCTTTTCGTTCCTCAAATTCTCCAATATTGTCGGTTTGTTGTACAAAATGTTTTTCTACACACTACTGGTGGTACACTTCGGAAGCAAATTATCGGTATTCCAATGGGAACAAATGTTGGCCCAAAAATGTCTAATCTAACGTTGTATTGGGATGAAGAAAACTTTGTTGACGACATACGTCAACATGATCTTCAAGCCGCGATACACCTTCACTTATCGCCTCATTGATTCTTTCATGGGGGCAATTGCCTCCTCCTCCAGAGCACTATGGGCTTGAGTGGAAGGAGACTACAACGACAGATGGCTCGTGCACCTTTGTAGGTATGCATCCACGGGTCCGTTCTGATGGCTCGCTTCGCATGAGCGTGCTTGAGAAAGCAATTGCTTGGGATTTCCCTGTCATTCATTATCCAAGGGCGACCTCCAACATCCCTTCCCATCAACCGGCAGGTGTGTTCACTGGACAATTGACCAGATTTGAACAAATCCGTAACAATTGGTAGGACTTTCGAGCTGCAACAACAACACTTACTCGTCGCATGCTTTCTCATGGGCATTCCCCACCAATCCTTTCTAAGGGGTGGACCTGCTAAATGCGCTCACGCCAACGTCGCTATCCTACGCATGTGATGCGTCTCTCTCAGTGGTTCCGACCCATGCTGCGATGGTCCTTGCATCATCCACTTTCTTCCTTGCGTCCACGCTGCTCTTGTCCTGCTCCTGTCTGCTCATCCGCTGCTACTGCAGTTTCCACTAATGTGGTTTCCACTGTTGCGGTTTCCACTGTTGCAGTTTCCACTGTTGCAGTTTCCACCGCCGCAACTTCAACAACTCCGGTTTTCACTCCCGCAGTTTTTGCTACTGCAGTTTCCACTGCTGCATTAGTCTCTGCTACAGTTTCCACCGCTGCGGTTTCCACTGCTGC